AAATGATTGCTAAATGGAAGGAACAAGTAGCCCAAAAGTGTTGGAAAGGGTATAATTATTTACCTCTAGAGCCGGCAGAAGCCAGTTAAACTGTCGAACATTAGGCCATAACTCTCTGAGGGTGTTGGCTGCCTTCTTGTCCAAAGTAACTACCAGGGATTTATTGTGAACACCTAAGAAAGCCTAATTTGAGTTTTTTTTTTTTTAATCCACAAGAGTTTTACCAATACCTTTTAATCCTTCAGTATTGCATAACCAGTTTAGCGTCATATTTAAAGCATGTGAGTTAAGAATCAGAACAAATGTTTCTTCGTTTGGGGGTAAAGAGTTTACTGTGGCTTTGAAGCTTTCGCTAGACATCTAAAAAAATTCTCTTTGTATATTTGATTCCTCTGCAAACATCTTTACTCTGCAAAATTCAGTTAAAACCTTTCCTCCCTCTCATCCCCTCTAGTTTGTAGTCTTCTAATCATTGATAAGGGTAGTTTTCAGAGCATGAAAGTACTTTTTAGCAAAGCAAATTTGTCCCAATAAAATCTCATTTGGGGACCTTTCGTTACCTTCAAACAAGCTCAGTTATCTTCTATTATTCTTATTGCGTCCTTTAAAAGGAAAATTACAAAGTACTCGCAGCACATAATTACTCAGATAATATTGTGCCTGGGTTAGAGAGTTATTCCTGCATCATCAGCATCATGAATAACTACTTTTAATTGCTCAACAGTACGGTCGCTTATATGTTAAAGGCACCTAGAAGTTTACACAACTTGTTATTGACCACAAGTCCTTTTAATCGACTATTTTCTTTCATGCAAATGAGCAATGTGTAATTTGGCATTCGCAAACAACGCCAGTCAACATACGGTTATGGTTGTTAAGACGTTTACTATGACATTACTATTAGTTTAAAAACATCTTAAATAATTCTCTAACAAGGGCTTGTAGTATGCTATGTAGTACTAATCCTAGCGGGAATGGTATTTCCAAGTCACTAATTGGTTTTCATTTTTCTTTTTTTTGCTATTTATTCCTAGGATAAACTGACTTGCAATCGCATTTGTTTGCTGAAGGTATATGGGATAAAGTAAGTTCGCATTTCGAACAAGCATGATATAATTTTACTTTTTTTTACCTTGAAAAAATAATTATCCGTTATGTACCTTCTCTAAAATATAAACCTTATTTTCCTATGGTAGACTATTCTAGCTTATAGTATATTTCCAAGTCACTAACTAGTT